CTCATCAACTATTGCCCTGTTCGCTTGGTTGATAAGCCATTGCTGAAAGTACTATTGGCTAATTTGTTGTAAGAGAAAAATATTGTTCGTTGAGCTGAAAAAGTACGGCTTATAAGCCAAGCGAACAAGACGTATAAAAATTAAATAAAAATGATTTAGTTCTTTATTACATGGTTTAGACTGGGGCTTAGCATATTTCTGGGTCTTCCCTTAGTGGGGATAAAACTCTCTCACTACAATTACCAACTCTCCATGAATCATAGATTAAACTATAGAATGAAAGTTGCCATTGAGAGTGGGTGCATTGTTTAATTCCGGTTTTATTTTATTCTATATGACATGGTAGTCTTAGAAACAACGCTATGAAACTCTCCATTAAGACTAGCCTAAATATTAGTATTAGTTAGTAGTACTATTCTATTAGTTAGCAATCCCGATTCTATGAGTTTTTCTTCCGTGATGAACTGTCAGCACCGGTCCTATATTTTTTCTCTGTGGACCGAGGAGAAAGAGGGCTCAGCAGGAAGAGGATTGTACTATGAGAGAAGCACATAGGTCAACTCGCTTCAAATATGGAATATAGATTCTGGCAATGCAATGGAGCTGGGTCCTCATATCGATCCGAATGAATCGGTCTTTCTACAGAGGTTAATCTTTGCCTATTAGACAAGAGGATAGCAAGTTCAAAATTCTGTCTCGGTAGGACATGGATTTCTATTATTACGAAATTCATAAATTAGTTAATGGGAGGGCTACCATTTTCCTTTTTTTATGTGTTCCTAAGAGAAGGAATTTGTCCATTTCATGTTTCGAGGTCTAAAAAAGGGTGTGGAAATAAATAGAAACTCTTGAATGGATACTGAAAAGAAATGTAGCCCCAGTTCCTTTAGAAATGATAAGATCTTTGACGTAAGAAGAAGGGGCGATCCATATCGTCTTGACTTGGTTCTGCTTCCCCTCTTTTTTTTAAGAATACCAAATCAGGTTCTTCTCCTACCAGTATCGAATAGAACATGCTGAAAAAGATCTTCATGAAAACCCACTCGATTTAGATCGGGAAAATCGTACAGATTTTATGCCATGTGCTATGACTCGAATCAATAGTTAATCTTATTTTCGATAGGACCGGTTGATAATTGAATCCAATGTGGAAACGTAGGATATTAGTGCCCCTGTCCCCTGTTCGGATTCATCCGTACTAATTCTAGCATATTAGCTATTAGCATTATAAGAATCTAAATAGGCCCTAGTCGTGTTTACATTGGCCGATTGCTTTGTGAAACAGCAACGTCGAAGGATTTCACTTGCACACGTAGGTCATCATCCACTCAAAAAGAAAAGGTAGATCATCGCCCATACTTTTGTGCTGGACGCTAGTTTAATTAAGTGCAAACTCCAATCAGAACTGCAGGAGCCCAGACGTCAGATGGCATACCGATCTGTCGGACGATACCGTGATTCGGGCTGATTCGTTTCCGCGCGCTTGCACTCTGTGCCCGCGCCTGCTTTTCGCGCGCCCACACGGGGGACTGCGCTGCGGGGGCTGTTCGCGCCCTCTCCAGCATTTCGTGTGCAACACTCAATCTACTTTTAAAATATTCAGGTATAATATTTGCAACATATGTTTGAAGACAGATAAAACACTTAAAACATACGTCTGAAACACTTGCAAAAACACTTGAAAATCATTGCAAACATACGCAACATTCAGATAAAACACTTACAACATATGTCTGAAACGTATGCAACATCCAGATAACCACACTTGCAACATACGTCTGAAAAAATAGATGAAACGTTGAGGCCAGACGCTTGCAACATATGTGTACAACTATTGCAACATATGCAACATCCCAATCTACTTTCACAATATACATCTGAAACATTTGAAATATACACTTGCAACATGCATTGTATCCTAGTGTGGCCTTCTCCATTGTCTGTATTGGGGCGCCACAGCCATAGCAAGAGGCGAGGTCGAAAGGCTTTAGCGTCAGGGCCCGGCGCTTCTCCTTGCGTTGGCGGCGCCTGTTGTCATCGTCGGGCGGGGCGAGCGGTGGAGCAGGAGCAGCGGAAGGAACAACAAGGAGGAGAGGGCGGGGCGGGAGCAGGAGCAGCGGGGTGGGCGACAAAGCAGGAGAAAGAGCAAGCGGGGCAGGTAGCAGGAGCAACGGAAGGGACAGACACAAGAGGTCTGTTGGGTTGGTCCACAGGCCTAGGAAGAGACGTTCAGATGGGACGGATGCCTTCCACACAATATTTCTAAACTCTAATATGTGACAGTTGCGCACTCGTGAGACCGCACACTGGCGTCACCTCCGCTGGAGGCGGGTTGGGGTTTGTTGTCTCCCCGAACTCTAAACCCCTTGCAGCAGGTTGGCCGCGCGGGGATTGCGGTGGGTTGGCAAGGCGGGGTGTCGCCAGCGGCCGCAGGTGGTGATGGGAGACCGCGGCCAGCGACGGATCCAGGAAAAATTTTAGGGGAGGGGGGTTGAACAACACATACCTCCGACTGCTGCTCGATCTTAAGTCTCGGCCCACCTACACTTTAGAACTTTGCCTAAAAATTCATAATGGCTCCAGAGAGGTTCCACTGCTCCGGTATAAGTAGGGGGGCTTGAGCCCCCCTTCCCCCCGTCCCACCGTTGGATCCGCCCCTAACCGCGGCGGGCAAGGTTGTGCACTCAGGTGGGAGCGTGACCGGTCTTGTGACTACCCGCGTGCGAGGAACCGCAAGAGCTTGTTCTCACTAGAGCATTCACAACAATTTGCTTTTAGGAAGCCAATCTTTAAGGATGTCTAGGTAATATTTAGTTGTTTTAACCCCTCTTGTCAACTGAAAATTTTGTATGTACTTATATTGGCTTATAATTATATTTACATTGTCTTATTGCTATATTTACAATGATATATTCAGTGTAATTTTATGGACATAGTGATGTAATTTGGGAATATCATAAATATATGTCAAATTTTTTAGAAAATTTTATAAATTATTTCTATGGATTGCAGATATCAGAGAAATAGAAAAAGTCTATATAATCCCTCAACTATTTAGAGTGGACTACTTCACCTCTTAAACTATAAAATCGGATTTTTTACCTCCTGAACTTTTCAAAACCAGTCAAATAACCCCCAAACGGTTTTAGACGGTGGTTTTGCTACAGTGACGGTAGTTTTGTCTTTTTCTTTTTTATTTATTTCCGCTGAGTCTTTGAAAAATCATAGTAAATCATAAAAAATCATAAAATATAAAATCCAATTTTGTTGGACTCCACATGAGTAGATCTACGCAGTGAACATAAAATATGGCATACTTTAGTACAAAGTTTTTACTGTAGCTTTAGATCTATGTTTTTCTGTAATTAAATGAAATAATTCATAGCTGCAGCTTCGTTCTATGGTCCAATTATAATGAAAATTTTTATGGTGGGCTAATTATTGCATGCTTGAACTGTAGTAAAAATTTCATACTTATTGGATCATGTATAACTTAGTTATAGATTTATTTAGGTTTATGCTTGTTAAATCTATGCTTTAACTATAACTAAGTTATACATGATCCAATGAGTTTGAATTTTTTATTATAATTCAAGCATACAATAATTTGCCTATCATAAAAATTTTACCATAATTGAACCATAGAACGAAGCTGCAGCTATGAATTATTTCATTTAATTACAGAAAAGCATAGATCTAAAGTTACAGTAAAAACTTTATACTAAAGTATGTCATATTATATATTCACTACGTAGATCTACTCATGTGGAGTCCAACAAAATTAGATTTTTCCATTTTATGGTTTTTCTGTGATTTATTATGATTTTTCAAAGATTCAGCGGAAATAAATAAAAATAAAAAAGACAAAGCCACTGTCACTATAACAAAACCACCGTCCAAAACCGTTTATGGAAGTTATTTGACCAGTTTGGAAAGTTGAGGGTGTGAAAATCTGGTTTTATAGTTTGAGGGTGAAGTAGTACACCATGAATAGTTGAGGGGTTATGTAGACTTTTTTCTTATGTTAAATTGTTCACAAATATTATCAAATTATTCACAAATTATTCCTAAATTTCAGAACAAATTACAGATCGTTCACAAATTGCTGTGGGACCCGCAAAGAAACAACAAAACACATAGCAACAATCAAGCGGGCGACACGCCAACACGCAGGCTAGCGACTCGGGCGTGACCTCGTGGTCCCTACGGAAATCGTTGCAGTAGTAGTTCCCGCTACGCCAACCGCATGGCCGCGTACTGCTGCGCCGTGAGTGAGCCGCGTCGCCATCGGATGGCCAGGGCCAGCGGGCGAACGCAATCGGACGCGCAGAAAAGCTGTTGATACAAGCTCCAGAATCAACCGGTTGCTAGCAATTCTGATCTTTAAAGCAGTTCGTTTTCATGTAATAATAAATGGAGCAATCCTTTTTTATTGATTTCCACTGCTTTAAAATAGTGCAGAAACCAGTGGAAACCCAAGCAAACTGGACCGTAGTATGTTTTAGCCCACGACACCGTATACAAAATTGGGCTTCTACGGGCCAGCAGCTATTGCGAATATATTGGCCCAAGACGTCCACGTACCACGACCGGGCTGCTCAGGAAGAACCAGCTATAAGTGCTGTGGCCACACGTCAGCTCATGTCGGCCGACACGGCACTCATCGAACTTCTTTGCCTAACATAACATGGTTTGCTTTCTTAGAAATCATTCACTAATTCTTAGCAATCATGCATGTTTGATTCACTGATTCTGCATCAAATAAAAAGATTGGGTAACGCTTTTGTACGGAGAAGTATACATTATTGTTTAGTACTATCTTCATTTCAAATTATAAGATGTTTTAATTTTTTCGGTGAATTTTACTATGCATCTAGATATAACGTATATTTAAGTATATATTAAAACTTATGCGTCTAGCTAGAAAATATAGAATGTCTCGTAATTTAGAACGGAGGGAGCATGATACCACAGTACAAATGTGTTGTTGATGGTCGCTCTCAACTTAATTTGCTCTTTGAACCAGTGGGCGTTGAGATGTAGCCCAGCCAGCCATGTGTCACAGTGAATGCTTGGGAACTGAGAATTGATAATAATATGGCAGAAAAAAGATAATAAGACAGTGTTTGGTACAGTTCCGATAGCTTCAAATCCTTCTAACAAACGCTACAACGCTATTGTTTGCAATTGCACAGCGGAGCTGTTCCAGGTTTTGAGGTGGAAATGAACCGCGAGAAGGCTGAAGTAGACGAAGCTATAATTTTGAGCTCCATCAGCTCTGCTTCTGTTGTTCCATATTACTTGCATTATACAGTGTATCTACAGTTGCAGAGCCGGAGATACTGGGAGTTGCACCAAACGACCCCATAGGTCTACTATCGTTGACTCTTCGCAAGCTTCCATGCACGGTTTGCTCAATAGCTAGCATATATACGCGAGAACAGGCTTTGAAATGAATTTGACAGTGCTTAGGTTCTGTTTAGTCCAGCTGTGAGCCATAAAAAAGTTACTGTGACTTATGTGCTGTGAAAAAATTATAAGCTATTTGGTTAAAATAACTATGAACCTACCCCTCCCTCCACATTTTTTTTAATGTCAACAGGCTTCCCCAACTGATTTTATATATTGGCCCGAAACAGCCCCTTATATAGAGTTGCAAGACATTTACAATACGCCCAGTAGTGCGAACGGTGGCACAACCACAAGTACACCGAAAGAGAGAAAAGACCACAACACGGCACAAAACCTAGGTAATCAGCGTCTGCCAAGTAGAAGCTTAGCAGGGCTTTCGCCCGAGTCTTACCCCGAGGAGAACCGCAGTAGCCTGGCTGACCAAGGTGAGGAGGCAGCAAGAGGTTCTTCAGCGATGCCTTCAAAAAGGAAAAAGCGCCCAACGTCGATCCTCATCGCTGGCCCCGCCAAGAGCTGAGCAGAGCTTTCGCTCAAAAACCTTGCCGTCGCGTCGTGGAGCCGGCACTCTGCCCTCCCCGACAAGAGCCACAAGGGAGGGCAGCCGCGGACACGCAGCCCCGCCGCCGGCATGCCCGCGGCCAAACCGTGCGCGGTGCGCACGTACGTGAAGAACACTGCACCGCTGCCGAGAGAACGACGACGACTCCACCGAATCCGAGCACGATGCCGTCGGATTCGACGAAGAGGACGCCCAAGGCCACGCAGCCCCGCCACCACCAAGCCCACGACCAAACCGCACGCCTAGAGCGGCTCTGCACACACACATGAAGAAGAGACACCACAGCACAGAGCAGCTCCAAAAGTACCCGTGCAGGGGCTCTGTCGCTCGGGAGCACCGCAACGGGGAGGTCACGCTAGGGGGTCTTGAACCAGCACGTATCGACGTCGGTTCGAGGAGCGCGGCGCTGGGGCTCCCGCCGACCAGGGGTGGCCGACCACTGCTGAGCAGGCCTTGCCGGGCTCCTCCTCTCGGGAGCACCACGACGAGGCCAGCTGTCGCTGCACCAGTGCCTACAAGGGGCTAGAGTCGCCCCACCGGCGCTCCATCGCTCGGGAGCACCGCGACGATGCTAGACGGCGCAAGCACCGACACAGGGCCGCGACATCCGGCCGCCGCATTCCCCCACCGCGTTCGTCGGTAACCGCGTTGGGCAGATCAGAGAAAAGGGGCCTAGGGAGGGGGGCACAGCGAGCCTCGCGTGGAGCGGGGCGACCGGCATCCATCGCACCTAGCAGGCGTATGCCGGCAGATCCGGAGCCAGGGGGGCCAAATCTACCACGCCGCCGCCGGGAGGACGTCGAAGACAAAGAGGATGGGGGCACGGCGACCAGACCGCGTGGAGCCGGGCCGGCCATCGTCGCACCCAGCAGATCCATGGCCAGGGGTCCCGAATCCACCTCACCTCCACCGGAAGGACGTCGGAGACGAAGGGGAAAGGGAAGGGGAGGTAGATGACTCGTGGGGGAGGAGGGAGACGTGGACGGAGGTCCCGTTTTTAGGCCCACCGCTGGTCGCCGCCGCCGCCGCGCGCTAGAGGGCGGCGACGACGGCTGAGGAGGTGGCTCAGGGGAGGGGGGGCTGGCGGCGCCAGCGTGCGCCCCCCGAGTCGCCAGCTTAGGAGGGAGCAACCGAACCGTCTCCTATCCTTTTTGCCCACTGGTATTCCCCCTCTCTCTCTATATCGCTTGAAAAACGGTTGCGAAAGGTCTCTATTTCCACTCATTTGGAAAAGAAAAGGGCTAAAAGCCAATAGCAGGATCAGGATGGTGTGAAAGTTATACTACGTGAAAGCAACTACTTCTTAATAAGAAAGTAGCTTTAAATTTCACCTATTTTGTGGTGTTCCATTTTTTGGTAGCATGAACACTTTGTTATATATAGAAGCTGAACTAAACATAGCTTCAAACTTCATGAAGCACATCAGAGTCGATAGACGACGACGAGAGATCTGTTTGCAGAAGTAGTTTGCCCATTTTTCTTAGAGAAGTATTGAAACGAACCAATGTTAGGGTCCACACAGCATGCCCCTACGTGTGACAATCGGAGGAAGTAATCATAATCAAATCATGGCCACGACAGCAAACTGATGTGCGTCGTCTTCCTTAGCTAGAGAAGGAAATCATTGGACAATTGGTCACCGTCTTTTTTTAAACAAATGCAAAAATTGGTTTACTAAAAACAATAAACTATAGATCCTTCAATATATATATATATATATATATATATATATATATATATATATATATATATATATATATATATATGTGTGTGTGTGTGTGTGTGTGTGTGTGTGTGTGTGTGTGTGTGTCAGCGCCATTCTCCACCCTAGCCAAATCTGACAAGAAAAAATACTGAATAGTCATCTCTATTTACGATAATTTTATATACTAATTTATGATAATGTCAATACATATTTACAATAGTTGGGTTACTATAACACATGGTGATATTTGCCATAACGTTATAGTAAACTACTTCGTAAGGAGTTACTATAATCTCGTAAATTAACATAGTAATTAATATAACTCAAAGTGGCTACAGAATAAGTTATTTTATAGCCAGCTACATGGTAGTAATTATATATATATATATAGAAATTTAATAATGATGGTGTTTTTCCATCACCATCATTCCCACAAGGGGAGATACATGTGCTCAGCAGACGAGCAACCTTCCGCGCAACAATAGTAGTACTGGTGATCAACCCTCGTGTCATACCCTAGGACGCCACCACCCTCGTACCCATTATTAGTGTACACACACCAACCCTCTGCCTCATCATGCCCAGCTAAGAACGATGATGCACCTTCGTAGTCGTAGCCATCCATGTTGTCCGACAACACATCCTCAATCCTGTCAAGGCTCTCACCACCATCATCATCGGCCATCGTCACCGCCACCCGTCGCCACCATCGCCGCCGCGGATCTCCGCCTCGAGGGACCGAATGACATGGCTCAGCTGGCGATTGACGTCGCCATCGAGGAGCAAGTCAGAGGAGGCGGGCAGGTCCTCCATCAGCTCCATCAGGAGCGCCCCGTCGACCTCGCATAGGCCTGTCATGACCTGATCGAGGTCGGCGTGGTACCTCTCTGCAATGGTGTAGCTGCCGCCCTCACTCTGCTGGTTCCACGACTGCTCCATATGTATATGATATGACTAGGCAACCAATGCAATGTAAGCAGGGAAAGAAATGGAACAGCTAGCTAGCAGTAGTGTGCACATAATTATGGCCCCGTTCACTGGTCTGAAACTTAGCTGAAACTGACTAGTTGTTGTGAGAGAGAAGCATAGTAGTGGTTTTGTTGATAAACAGTGCCCGCTAAGGAGGAGTAGCAGCTGGCTGGTCTGGTTTTCCAGACCAGCGAACGCGCTCTATATTGCAAGTGGTGTTTGGGATAATGTGGAGCTGCTGGCTGGCTGGCTGAGTGCGTTGTTAGCTTGGTGGGCAATGAATGGTGCAGGGAGGCGGACGCTTATATAGGCCGGTTTCTGGAACTGGAAGTGCAAATAAAATAAATAAAGTAATTGATATAAATGAGGCGCCAGCAAGTTGCTTCCAATGTGCAGCTGCAGCAGTTGAAAGGGAATTGTTGGGTGGCTGATTAGGCTTCTACTAGGAGCAACCGGTTAGTTGCTGAACAATCTTCGTGCTACAGCTAGAAGAATAGAGTATTGGCCAAAGCAAGTGGAGGCGGCTGTACCTGTTTTCCAGGCAATGCAAGCGAAGCAAAGAAGGTAAAGGCCGTCCGGTTTCTGAGGTGAGAGAAAGCAAAGGTGCAGTGCATGATGGATGGGATGCATGCATATTATTGGGCGGCCAGCGGTGGACAAGATCCGGCAGGGCCGGCATTATTGATTTCTTGTGCTCGCGTCCACGTTTGCAGCCAGCGTGCGGTGCTGTTTGATTAGGTTGGTTTGACTTATAAGCGATGGCTGAAAGTATTGTTGGTTGATTTGGTATGAGAGAAAAATAATGTTTGTTGACTGATAAGTCATACTTATAAGCCAAATACGACCGAGCGAACATACTGTATATGTGATGTTGATGTTGATGCTGATGCTGATGTTGATGTGCCTAGCTGCCGACTAGGACTGTCGTGTGGATGTGGTGATTGCGATCCTATATATAATAATAACAATTCTTATATGCCTATTCGGTGATCTCTCTCCTACGGCTCCGTTCGTTTTGAGTAATTTGGAGGAATCTGTGAAGAGGAAAACACCGTTCCGGATAAAAAAAAAGCAGATTAAGTCGTGTTTAAGGGTATGCGAACGGAGCCTACCTACGCAACAGAAGATTTTGTTCTTCAGGCAATCGATCGGATGCCCCGCCGTTCTCAGAGTCCGTTGTCAACTTCTCATGCACGGTGGACAAGATCCGTCAGGGCCACAACTAAAAATCGTTTGCGTAGTAGTACTGGAGCACGCTCGTGCAAGCATGTAATGAAAAAAAGTACAAATAATGAGCTAGGAGTACCTATTTTTTGTTAGATTCAACTAGGCTTAGCCAACATTAAATCAAATAAATTTTAAGGCTCAAAGCAAATGCTAGTGCAATAAAGGATTAATCTCATATGAGAAATTGACATCACATTGATTGAACTTAGATAGTGTGGCTATTATATGTACCTCCGTTGCATGCGCTACGATGCGCATGGTCTCCGGTGGTCCGGCCACAACATTGGTGGTGTGACATCAATGAACATTTTCCCGCTCCAAACTCACAGTAAGAAGGGTTAAAATGAGGGACAGATGGGTCTGGATAGAGAGATAGAACAGGAATGAGGGATGAACGGACAAGGAAGATGATGATATATGGAAGGAAGATTTAAACTGGCAGATCGTGAGATTTACAAAGTAAAAAATAATAAAGTCCCTACTAAAATCATGCAATAAAATAAATATGCCTTTAGATTTTAGAATAAATATAAAAGATAATAAACACCCGTGTCAAATCAAAGTTCTATAAAATATAACCATAACCCTAAACCGTGGCCAGCTGACTTATGGTCAGTTGGAGCTGCATGCGAAACCTTCGCACGCACGCATCAAGTACAATGACTGTCAATCAGTGATCGAGTTTGTCCAAGGCCTTGTTTAGATTTTAAGTTTTTTCACTCTCTCTCCATCATATTAAATTTTTAAACATATGCATGGAGTATTAAATATAGATAAAAAAATAACTAATTACACAGTTTGATTGTAAATTACGAGACAAATCTTTTAAGCCTAGTTAGGTCATGATTGGACAATAATTACAATCAAACTATGTAATTAGTTATTTTTTTTATCTACATTTAATCATGTATAATCTCAAAAATTTGATGCCATCATCTAAACAAGGACCAAACTGCCTTCTTGGAGAAGATCCACTTGTCCAAACTATCACTGCCTTCCTGTCTCCGCGGCAAGTGGCCGCCCAAGGAATCCTGCAGCAGTTGCCCAGTTGCCGGCCGACCAATTTGCGGTGCTAATTACGACAGTATGCGTCAGTAGTAGTACCTTTCAAATCAAAAAATACACACTCAACGCAACCCTTAAATTAGGTTAAACTCTACTACTAGGACGGCAAATACTTTGGTTCCCACCACAAAATTTAGCTATTAAAACTAATTACTAAATTTTAGTCACCTCTGACTAGTTCTACTGACTAAAAATGACTAAAGGTTATTAAAGTAGTTTAACGAAAACCAAACTACCCCTAATAAATACACGAATTAGGGTGGGAGGATCCAGCAATAATGAAGAGCAGACCCTATTCACTGGGCACTTTAGCCCACTTTTAACATCTCCTTGGGATGCTAATGTGACTAAACTACTTTAGTCCCTTTTAAGTCAATTTGTTTTGTTAGTTTAGTAGCTAAGTAGCCATGGGAACCAAACATGCCCTTAAAAGGCAAAAAAAAAGGCGGTCCTAATTTTGTTAGATGATAGGGACTATTAGGTTATTATAGATAGCTTGCGCTCTATCTAGGCTGGCACTAGTTTCTGACTTCTGAGCATATATATGAATATGATATGAATGACCCTCTTGTCTAAGAATCTTTTCCTAATAATCTTTTGTTCCGTAGTACCTTTGTTCCAAATTATAAGTTACTTTTATTTTTTTGGTATATCAATTTTCTAGATACAACATATGTCTAGATACATAGCAAAATTTTCTAAAAAAATCAAAACGATTTATAATTTGAAATAGAGAGAGTAACCCACAAAGAAAGCATCACAAATTTATTTTGGGGTCAGGTGGTTTCCCTTTCCTTGTTTTGTTTTTTTTCGAACGCGCTGAGTGCATTATGTGAAGGTGACATGTATGCTATATACAATTGTCGGATGATTGCCTTTTTTGCGACGAAAGAAGAATTATATTAGATAATAGCTGGGTACATCAACACGTTACAAGCACTCTAGATGACACAAATATCCAGAAACTGATTTTCATCTATATTGTACCAACGTTGTGAATAGCTCTAGATCTCAAAACCAAACCTGTACGACGCTTTGCAGTATGGATGACTGTATAGGCAAACACTCAGCAAAAGGCCTGAGAACAAATGCCCAATGAACGACGGTCAACTTTCATGAAGGCGGAGTTGAGATACTTCTTCTTTCTGGTGTCTTCCTTTTTCTTCTTTCTGCCACCGAAGAACGAGGAAGACTGATCTAAAAATTATTCTCCATAGTCCTTTATCGTGGCCAGATGTAACCACGACAAAACAAAGAAGAAACGAAGAAAATTATTCAATGACGACGACATCATCTCCACCTTGATGTCATCGTCCGAAAAAAAGGTCTCCATGTCGTCAAGCTAGTGAAGTTACTGACGCCGGAGTTGTTGTCCTTATCTTCAACAGAACCGTCATGGAGAATACAATTGCACCATTCCTCTTCACCATTGAAAGCATCTAGACTTCTAGTTGGGTTTCGATGATTAATGATCACACGAGATTACTGTGACTAATGTGTGTTTTATAGAGACAACTTGAGTTAGGTCGTGGTAATGATGATTGTTTGGGCAATTATGGTTTTCATGCCCCTATCGATGGAAATCGTTTCAGGTTTTTAAAGGTTAGACGATAAGGTCAACGACGGACTAGTTCTAAGTGTCGTTAGGCGTTGGAGAGACACTTATAGTAGTTTAGCACTTTGTTCTTCATTTGGTTGTACTATTAAGGGGGTATGAACTAGTAGCTTGACCTAGGTGAGTCTAATGGGTTAGGTGTGGTGCACACTTATCAAACTTAACACTAGGTAGCTCAGGAATAGCCCAAAGATAAATTGGAGTCCACCTCATTTATAAAGGATTTTGAATTGAAAGTGAATGGAGGGTCAAATATTGACCGAACGCTGTTTTAGTGATGACCGGACTCACAGGTGTTGTGTTTGGTCAATGATCAACGCGCACAGCAGAAGCCGAGGAGCGACCGGACGCTGCACAATCATTAGAACCGGGCGTGCCTCTAGTCGTATCTGTAGCAGTAGAACCTCACTGCCAGAGAGGACCAGACGATGAACAGTAAACAACCGGACACCGAGTTTGCAGCATCAGGTCAACATCAGAGAGGCTCCAGAGACCAAAATTCCTAACCGGACGCATCCGGTGGATGTTGACCGGGTCACTCCAACAACCTTCTCGGACAGGCTGACGCCACGTAGCCGTTGGCTACTAACCGGACGTGTCCAGTGCGTCCGGTGTAACACCTCTGGTGTTACGAGCTTGCTTAGCACCTAGGTTAAGCCCTCGGAGAAACAAGCCGAACGAGTTTTCAAATTTTAACAAGTTAAAACACATAGGAAACGAAAAACAATTTATGTAAACAAAAACAAAATATAACGTATGTATAGTGCTTATGTAAAAATGATGAGCAAATAGTGTAGATGAGAATGCAA